ATAAATAAATATTATATATATTATATAAATAAAAATTTAATTTCAAAATTGATTTAATAGTTAATAAAAAATCGGGTAACCAATATGCCAAGCTATATAATAGAAAAAATTTTCGTATCAATAAAGCTTTGTAAATAGAAATAAAAAAAATTTATAAAGAAAGATATAAATTTTCGAAAATTTTTAAAGTGTTAAACTTTCAGAAATTTTTGAACAAATATTTTTATAAAAATTATAAAAATTTTCGAAAATTTTTTAAAACACTAAAATTACGAAAAAACATCCATAATATTATGGAATTTTTATGTTTCAATAATTTTCAAAAATTTTTGAAAATTTCTGTAATATTATACAAAAAATTACGGAAATTTAATACTGTATCAAAATTACAGAATATTATGTCCAAAAAAATTTCCTGATGACAGTATTGTACTATTTGATTTCAATTGTAAAAATAATTTTAAAAATAATCAAAAAATAGTATTTAGTTCTTAAAAATGTCTGAAATTAACTAAACCAATAAAATAAATAAAGTATCACTTATCTACTACTCTATAGATCTCTTTTAAATTATATAATTATCTTTCTTTTTTGTCTAGTTCTATAAACAATACTGTGTCACCTGATTTAACTACAAAAAAATAGTTCTAAAAATAATCAAAAGTAATATTTAGTACCTGAAACTATTCGAAAATTAACTAAACTAATAAAATAAACAAAGTATTATTCACTTTAGTAATACTTGACAGAATTAATGAATTGTGGCAAGAGTTGCAACTATGGAGTTATAACTTATAATTGTAACATTGTGCCAATTTGTAATATTACAATTATGTCATAATGTCATAATTATATTACAATGTTACAATTATGTCACAATGCCACATTATATCATTAATATAATTATATATAAGATCAGAAATAATCATCAATAGTTATTACATATAAAACTTTTAGTTTATAAGTAAATATTAAAATACTATTAAGTAATCTTAGTTATATCAAATATATTTACATATATTTACAAATATATTTGCATATATTCAGTTTTTATTAATTGTGCATATATTTGTGAGTGAAATTTTCCTGATGTTATTCTCTGTTTATAGTTATAAAGAAATTAACAGATTTAATTTATTAAAAGGTATATATTGTAATGATATTTTTTGATAACATTATTATAAAAATTCTAAAATGGAATACTATTGAAATTCATTTTATAAAAGAAAAGTTTTTGAAAGTTACAGATTTAAATTCTAAAAAGCTTTTAATAAAAGAAGTACCATTTGATGAATTTAGTTATACTCAACTTAAAACTAAGACTAAATAGAAAAAATTAGAAACTGATCTACCTCAAAAGATTACAGTTGATATAATTAAAATCTTCAAAAAGGCACTTTTTGATAAACTTAAACTTCAAGATGATAATTTCATTTTTGTTTTATTATCAATGTGTCCATTAGCTAATTTTACTATTTTATTAAAAGATATTTTAAAAATACTGCTTTAGTATGCAATAGTAATTTTTATACCTTTTATGGTTTTACCTATGCAACACGAGGTAAATTTGGTAAATCAAATAATTTTTCTTAATTTATTTTTTCTTAAAAATAGCACAAAAAAAAGTTAATATTAATAAAACTGATTGGAAATTAAAATTAATAATTCAAGAGCATAAAAGGAATCGTTTTAATAATGAGAATAATTTAAAGTTTCCAAAAAATGCTACATTTAAATGATTTTTTATTATTATTTCTATTACATCAAATTAAAAAGGTAAAATGTTTTATTATAAACAAGCATTCTTAATAACAATGTTTATTTGGAATATGAATTTTCTCATTTTCTTATTTATTATATTAAAATAAGAGTATATAAATACTATCTTTAAACTATAAAAATTTGTTTGAGAAATGAATAATACAATAATACAAAATTTGCAAAAAAACAAGATTTAGCGTCTTCCGATGATAGTTGCACAAAGTCACAAGGATAAGATTTCACGTGGGGAAGTGAAAATATGGCATCAACCTTACATGAAAATACATAATAACTTCTCGTGAATTTAATTTTTTTTTGATCGATGTCTAAAGAACAAAACGATTCTGGACTGAGGCTTCGTCCTACCAAATCTAGCTCTAGTATCTCAAAGTCATCAACGGGTAATGGGAACGATGCTCGAGCAAATAAAGCTAATTGTTCTAACACTCCCTCTAGGACCGCTCCCTCTAGAACCGCAAACAAGTCAACAGTAGGGTATATACTTATTTGCTTATCGAATACCAACTTAACTTAAGCAAAATGCGTTTTAAATTATTCGTTAAATTCTTCACAACTTATAAAAATGTAGTCGTGGACCACCTCCTTATTGTCCTTCAGGAAAAATAGCATTCTTTTTATTCGTGATAGTGCGTTTAAGTGCAGCATTTTATTCAAATATCGCAGATTGTGACGAGGTACTAGAATATTTTAATTTTTAATTAATTATTATTTTATAAAACTTATATTATTTATATTTTTCTTTTTTAGGTTTTTAATTATTGGGAACCAACCCATTATTTACAATATGGATATGGACTGCAAACATGGGAGTATTCACCGAAGTATGCAATTAGAAGTTGGGCTTATATTAAATTACATGCAATTGTTGGTGGAATATTTAATATCATTTTCGGACATGATAAGGTATGTTATCTTTTATTCATTGATTAAAAAAATATCGTTTGTCTCTAATTTCTTTTTAATTAAACTTTTTAAATAGATCAAAGTCTTTTACACCATACGCGTAGTGTTTGCTATATTATGTGCATTGTCTGAATCGATGTTTTACGTTTCTACAGTAAGCAATCTTGGACCACGTGTAGGACGTTATTTGATTATCTCTATGTTATTTAGCGCTGGAATTTGGAATGCATCAACTGGTACCTTAACATAATCATAAAAAATTCGTGTTTTTTTTTTTTTTTTTTAAAAAAAAAAGAAACTCCGAAGGTTTATTAATAGAAAAAAAAATTATTTCCACAGCATTTCTTCCATCAACATTCGCGATGTATACTACTATGGTCGCGTTTTTTTATGCTTTAAGAGCAGTTTCACAGAGTTCCGGACGTCGAATTTATAAAACAATATTTTGGGTTGGTCTAGGATCATTATTGGCGTGGCCTTTCGGTGCAGCAATAGGAATTCCTGCTGCGTTTGAAGAATTAACACTTCGTACTAGTGTGGTCAGAAAGAAATTTGAGAGAGTTCAACGTTTAATATTTGGGCTTATGATTTCCATGTGCCTTATTCTTGTATGTAACATTTAATGTTTCTTTTGTAAATAGGAAAATTATTTATAAAATCATTGTTTTCTAGGTACCACTCGTCTTGGCAGATTCCTATTATTATAAACAATTCAACATTGTTCCATTGAATATTATAATGTATAACGTTTTTGGAGGTAAGGATCGAGGGCCCGAGTTATACGGTACTGAACCCTGGCATTTTTACATCAAAAATGGTCTCTTGAACTTCAACTTCTTGTTTATTTTGGCTCTCATTAGTTTACCGGGTTTGGTATGTGCATTCTTTTTTCTTTTTTTTTTTTTATATAGTGATAGTGATTAACTTTCATAATGGTTAATTTATTATTATTATTATTATTATTATTATTATATAGTTGGTAACTATTTTAATCGACCCGAAACGTATTTCTTCTGCAAACACAACTGGACCTTTTTATGCTTACCTTTACCTTAGCTTCCGATTGATACCTTTCTATCTTTGGCTTCTCATTTTTATTACGCAACCTCATAAAGAAGAAAGATTCCTATTTGTAGTGTATCCTCTCCTATGTTTAAATTCCGCGGTTGCAATGTTTTTGGTCAGAGGCTGGTTTGATCGATTGCTTATCATCTTATCAGAAAGCGTGCCATGTGCGGTAATTAAAAAATAAAAGTTGATATTAGTCATTTTTTAAATAAGTTATAATTAAAATTTGGGATAAAACTTAATTGTTGATTATTTTATTTGTAGAGTACTAGAAGACATTATATTAAAATGTTCACAACTAGTATTCTTCTTATTTCTGGTTTGATTTCGCTTTCACGTATTTCAGCTCTCTATATTAATTACAATGCACCAATAAAAATTTATAAATATTTCTATTATGTTGAGATACCTCAACAAATCGAATCGCGGAATATCCAATTAGATCTGGCAAATCCTATAAATCTATGTGTTGGAAAAGAATGGTACCGTTTTCCAAGTCATTATTTTTTGCCTAATGGTGTTAGATTGAGATTTTTGAAATCCAACTTCAATGGGCAATTACCAAAATATTTTCCGGAAAATCATCACATTGATCCTGATGGTAGAATTAAGATGAGCAATGTACGTGAAGGAACTTGGAAAATACCAGAAGGGTTCAATGATATTAATCAAGAAGAAATGGATAGATATGTAAGCATTAGGAATTTTTTTCATACCATCAACTCTTTTTATAATAAATTTCAAAAAGTTTATTATATCAGATTTATTACATGTTAAAATTATAATGAATTTTTAAAATTCAAAGTTAGCTATGTCTAAAATTTTATATATCCCTTTTTAATAGGTCAACATTGAACAATGTGAATATATTATTGACTTAGAAATGAATTATACTAGAAAAGCAACTGATAATGAACCACGTTACGCAGCTCAGACGGATAAATGGAGTGAAGTTATTTGCGAACGATTTTTGGATAATGAAAATTCAGACAGAATTTCTCGAGCATTTTATCTTCCCCCGGAAATATGGAAAAGGATTAAACGGATAATCAAGTATTTACCCGTACGAACGTTCAATAGCAATGCAGTGAATAGATTAGGCGAGTTGAGATGGGGTTCTTATTGTTTGTTACGAAAGAAAGCTTGACGAAAACATCAATAATGATTTTCTGGTCATAATTCATAATCTTGTTTTATAGAGACATTTTTTTCAATTTTTTTCAAATCTTCCGTTTTATGATTACATTTTTTTTGTTTTATTTTTTTATATGTTTTACATATCAGTAATCTGTAAATATTATAGTGAGTAAATAACAAATTTTATTGTACAGATTTCATTATTTTACAAATAATTTTGAAAACACTTTTATTACTGTATGTAAAAAAAAAAAAAAAAAAAACTGAAAATTCTGTGGATAAGATAAAGAGATGTAATCATTATTGTCGCATAAATCATATGATATCTTTGGATTCAAATAATTTTTGGCCATTCCATTTTTTTCGTATTGTTAATTTACTTTTGAATATAAAGGAAAAAGGCAATTCGCTCCCTTCCGAAAGGGACCGATTTTAATAGTTGATATGGTGCATGGAAAGCGTTCAGCACAACTGTAGAAATACTTAATACGAAAGGGAAGTATGAGTGTTTTTTCTGCATCTATATGGCATCCCAGTCAGGTTTCGCCCTGTACTGCGGGTTGTTAGGTGTCGCCCTCGCCAGATTGATAATAATTTTTGTTTGAGATTGTATGATTCAAAAAAAAAAAAAATTATATTGTAAAATATATAAAAATCATTAAAATTTGTATTTTGTTTGTTTATTTTGGAGAAAATATTTTTGAAATATTTTGGAGACGTTGTTCTAATACTAAAATCCATGAATTTTTTGAATAAACAAGTTTCTCTAAATCATTCTTTTCTCTAATCAATATTTCTAATGGTAACTCAAATCCTAATTTATCAAATATCATTTCAATGATAAATTCAAAATATTCATCATCATCTTCATTATTATTATTTAATTTTAACTTGAGAAATATCTTGCAAAGACTTTCTAAGAATGGAGTAAATTTACTATTAATGGATTTATCATCATTATTATTAATAGATTTATTAATGGATGATAGTGGCGGCATCCAAATAAATTGATTAGATGCATCAAAAGTACAAAGAAACAAAACAGATAAATCCAATAAAAAATTGCGTATTTCAAATGAAATAATCGATTGTTGTTGCTGGAGTGATGATGACGATGATGATGTAATAGTATTGGTAGTGGTGGTAGTATTAGTAGTGGTGGTAGTATCGATATTGATGGTAAATGGCGAGGAGACATTGAGACGTGAAAAAGCTGTTAACCAAATATCAAGAAATAATCGATTGATCTCTTTAAAATTAATATACTAAAATTTTAAGAATATATAATAATTAAAGTTAAAATTAAAGAATATAATAATAATAATAATAATAATAATAATAATAATAATAATAATAATAATAATAATAATAATAATAATAAT